CACATATTATTTGCGAAAACAAAGTCTCATTTCATTCTTCGTAAAATACGAGGGCCATAATGTAGTAGGTATATTATGTATATGTAGGTATGTACAAATTACATATAGGTACACAATTTGTATCGTATGGAGAATTATTATCACAAAGACGCGATGATACGAGCTAGAGCTGACTATCCTACATAATAATTTTCATAAATAATAGTAGCTTTTTTTTGTTAAGATAAAAAAGATTAATTGCAACATAAAAACATTTTCATTAAGTTTCAAGTCTGCAACCGTTTCAGAGTTATCATTTCCGTCACGTATATCCTCTGATAGAGTTTCAGTTTCTCTCCAGCTTTGTGAAATTATTTTAGTCTGTCGTTGCTGCAAACTTTTCCCATTTTCAAACGCAAAACGCCCCAATGACTCGTTTGTAGAGTACGTCTGAAATGTAATTTCATTATGTAAGTATACATTTTATAACAAGCTTATTCGCGCCAGTAGACTCTAGCTTTACAAACAAAAAGCTTTACATTGTGATGGATTTTTATGTAATAAAATTGGCCATGCATCTATTTATAGGTACTGATAATTAAATTATGGTAGAAACGAAGAATGGAAAATTGTTTATCAAAATTCTTTCCACTGTTTGATGTCTGTTTGTATCATGAATACATATTAAAACTTAGCAGCCATAACATAAGTAGGTAGGTATATCGTTTTTCCTCCTAGTTAATTGAAATCACTCTTAATTAAGCTACTTACTTAAGTATTATCTTAATTATGTATATCAATATTTCCCATTGCCATCGCTAATCAAGCGTGCTTTACGAGTACATGAAGGTAGTTCTTACAATGATTTTACAGTTATGAATTTTGTTTATGAAAATCTGTGGTTTAAAATGTGTACTATTTGTCTCAAAATAAAAGTGTCTGTCCCTGATAGAATTTTGTTTCTTTATTAATCGTTACAATTACATAGTTTCCAACAACGTCCAGTGACTATCTCATCACAAAAATGAATCTAACAGCATCACATAAACTCCCTAGCAATTTCGGAACATAAATTATGTGGACTTAATCTCTAGCGACATGGCCCACTTAACGGAGCTTTATTTGGTCCAGGCTATTTTCAACCGACTTCAAAAAAGGAGGAGGTTCTCAATTCAACCCGTATGTTTTTTTTTTTTTTTTTNAAAGTAAATAACTATAAAGATCTATACATAATTATCTTTCTAATTTACATATTATAAATACGACTCGACATACATAACTATGCGAAATTATAGGTTTAATCGATATACATAAAACAAAGGGCTATCAAATTATACATTTCTATGGTTTTCTAAAATAAACTATGATTTATACATCTCCAACGTCCCACATACGCCTATTAATCAGTAATTAAGGACTCGACACATTACTAATTGAGAACCAACAAAGAGAAAGTGGACTGTATTACGAAGTTATCGACATTTAAACTATACAAACTTTATAAAACGAAATAAAAATGAAACAACTATGAAACAACTATGAAACAAAAACGAAACAATTATTTACAGCTATTTAAGTTTCTATTCGGGGCCGTCCGTCGTGCACAAATACCTATATTATTAGCTTTGTTGAGAGAAAATCTTTAAGCGAAATAATGCCTACCGTATTTTGCGTTTGTCCGTTGAATAACAATGGTTTTCAAGAATTTTAGTATAGTTTAATTTATTTAAATTAATGTAGTTTTTGGAGTGGAAACAAATTCATTTAAATTCCGTTGTGTTTATTTCGCATTACGAGTACTTATGCGGGTCACAGTCCAAGACCTAAGCAAAGTTAGTTTGACTTAGCTCCCATAGTGTTATTACAGTTTGCAATTTGCACACAACTATAACTATTAGAAAACTGTGTCAGGCAATTTAAACTGACTTACCGTAAATTACACCGTGTTTGATGTAACCATTGATTGTATTTTATTAAAATTATCGAATTTACTATACATAAATTTGGCCTTTCAGAGAGCTGGTAGTCTCCGTGGCGCCATTAGCATCACGGAGGGGATGAATGCTGTAAGTATTTTCAAATATATATATATGTGTTGTGTGTATATATATATATTTATGTTGTCCATCCCCACCGCGATGCTATGGTGTCCAGGAGAATAACAGCAAAAGGTCAAACTTATTATGTACTTATTATATTCGTAGTCTATTTTAATTTTCCTTCGATTTCAACAAGTCTGGAGAACGTTCTTACATTCAATTTTAATCCTTACAAATTGGCTTCGCAATAAAAATCTCACGTAAACAAAGCTCTTGTGAATTATATTCCACTTACGTTCAACGTCTAGGGGTATTACAGACTTGCAGAATACTTTTTGTGGGTACACATGTAGGCGAATACATCGTATTTTGGAAACTATGTAAATTCGACTCGCTATTTTGATGTTACTTAAAAGATACATATTTGTCGCTTTTTATGTACGTACGATTAGAGCAAGTTATTATTGCTTTATATGGGCTTCTCATTGTTATTTTTAAGTTATTGACAATTAACTGTTGAAATCCTAACCGATCTTCTATTAACAAATCAACTTAAGCTAATTTATCTTTCTAGATTACAAATAGCTTCTAAAACGCTATCAGCGATCGTCATACTTCGGATTATTCCTAAAGCACAATGATACACAACACGTTGCAAGTTACAAAATTGATACAAAAAACGAGTACGATGCTAAAAGTAGCTCGTCTGCGATGGCCTTTAATCGAGTATAAATATAATTAGATGAACCGATCAATAAGTGTTGCTTTCACATATTAATTATTTGCGAAAACAAAGGCCCATTTCATTCTTCTTAAAATACGAGAGCCATAATGTAGTAGGTATATTATGTACAAATTACACATACACAATTGTATTGTATGGAGAATCAAACACAAAGACGCTATGATACGACCTAGAGCTGACTGTCCTACATATAAAAAATATCATAAATGAAACAATTAGGTATACCTACATAAGTTTTTTTTTATGTAAGACAAGGGTATTTGACCGCAATCGCACCTGGTGTTAGGTAAGATAACTTTACTCATTTTCAAAATTAAAAGAACCGTTTTTATTTATTTCTAAAGATAAAAGAGATTAATTGCAACATAAAACCATTTTCATTAAGTTTCAAGTCTGCAACCGTTTCAGAGTTATCATTTCCGTCACGTATATCCTCTGATAGAGTTTCAGTTTCTCTCCAGCTTTGTGAAATTATTTTAGTCTGTCGTTGCTTCAAACTTTTCCCATTTTCAAACGCAAAACGCCCCAATGACTCGTTTGTGGAGTACGTCTGAAATGTAATTTCATTATGTAAGTATACATTTTATAACAAGCTTATTCGCGCCGGTAGACTCTAGCTTTACAAACAAAAAGCTTTACATTGTGATGGATTTTCTATGTAATAAAATTGGCCATGCATCTATTTATACTAATAATTAAATTATGGTAGAAACGAAGAATAGAAAATTGTGTATCAAAATTCTTTCCGCTGTTTGATGTTTGTTTGTATCATGAATACATATTAAAACACAGCAGCCATAACATAAGTAGGTAGGTATATCGTTTTTCCTCCTAGTTAATTGAAATCACTCTTAATTAAGCTACTTACTTAAGTATTGTCTTAATTATGTATATCAATATTTCCCATTGCCATCGCTAATCAAGCGTGCTTTACGAGTACATGTAGTTATAGTTCTTCAATGATTTTACAGTTACGATACGATTTTGTTTATGAAAATCAGCAGCTCAAATGTGTACCTACTATTTGTCTGAAAATGAAAGTGTCTGTCCCTGATAGAATTTTGTTCTTTTATTAATCGTTACAATTACATAGTTTCCAACAACGTCCAGTGACTATCTCATCACAAAAATGAATCAAGCAGCATCACATAAACTCCCAAGCAATTACGGAACATAAATTATGTCGACTTAATCTCTTGCGACATGGCCCACTTAACGGAGCTTTATTTGGTCCAGGCTATTTTTCTTTGCGTCATACCTGGCTTACACTGGTCAGGGCTTGATAAATTACACAATATAATGTATTAAATCACTAGCCCAGCTTAGGAACTGTGATAGTAAACCATAGCGCTTGTGCCAGATGCTACGAGATATGTTCTGCAATGATTTGATTCTTGAAATTATGAATGTTGTATTCAGACTCTTACGCCCGTATTCTCAAACATTACTATGAAGTCTCTCAGTGCGCGTGAACGCACAGGGTGACATATGAACCAATCACAGAGCTCTATTCAACGCTGTGCGTTTGATTTGCTGTTTTACTAGTCCAGCTTAGGAACTGTGATAGTAACCATAGCGGTTGTGCCAGATGCTACGTTATGTTTGCCACAATATGTTTTGCAATGATTAATTGATTCTTGGAATTATAAATGTTGTATTCTGACGCCCGTATTTTCAAACATTACTATAAAGTCTCTCAGTGCGCGTGAGGGCACTGGGTGATATATGAACCAATCACAGGGCTCTATTCAACGCTGTGCGTTCGATTTGCTGTTTTACTAAAGCAAGCATCGTTTGTGAATACGGGCGTTATACTTTGTTAAAATTTACTCAAGGAGCACCAGAATTTCATTTAAATATTGTCTCGCAACTATTACAATGACATTATGAGATGCCACATTATTAAAATGTGCCGTCGTCTGTTTATTTTCTTTAGGTAGTGTTTTTAAAGGCTCACATAGGTAATTGAAGAAAAATAGAAGCTGTTTTCACAAAATATCACAAAATTAAATCGCCCTGATTTAATTTTGTGTAAAATCATTGTTTGTGAAAATGGTTTCTCAAATCCTGACAATAATACCTCTTCCCTAAAATGCTTTTATTATTGGGAATTGTCTACCTTTCTTCTAAAACAGCGACGCCTAAAAATGATTCTACTCGTAACTTGAAGTCTTGAATTATTGGGTATGCGTAAAGCAGGTATTTTTTATTTAAAATTAATTTTGTTGTTGTTACAGACAGCAGTAAAAGTGGAGACACATTCATGTCGACACGCAACCAAGAAGAGTAACGCGCACAAGAACCAAAACCAGAAAGTAATACCTTGTAAGTACCATTAACTATATTTTATTTCCTTACTATTAGGAAAGCTAGGGTTTTACAGTAGATTATAGATACATACAGTTAAATCTATACAACATTGGCGTAAATACATCATAACTACCCATTTTCTCATAACTCCAGATTAAAGCAGTTTTCGTAAAAAATCCATTAAATCTGTCACTGTAGGTACTTGTACTTTCGGAAAAAGCTCTGTAAGATTTTCAGACCAAACTAATTTCGATCACAAAACTCTATCACCACATTATTCTTCTACTTTCATTGCCTACTGAAACTTTCCGTATCCACTAAATTGAATTTATAAACAGAGCGTTCCAAGCGCATAGACTTGAGACTAGAATTGGGGCAGCCTTCAAGATTTGTTCAGTAAACAAACAATATTGTAAATGCAAGTAAAATAACTGTTCCTAACTAGGGTTGCCAGGTGTCCAGCTTAAGCCGGACATGTTCAGACGGACGGACGGTCGTATCCGGTCAAATATTCTCTCCTCCGACCTGTCCTGCTTTTGTTAGGCTTTTTACGTGGAGCCCATAAACACTTGCTTTGGGCATCAGATGTTGAGGGGCACCAAAAAGAGCACGAAAAATTTGGTATCACATTCAACTAGGCGAATAAAAAAAAGGGGGGGGGGGACTGTAGCCTATGATTGTCCGGCCAAATTAAGCACCGAGTCCGGCTTTTGAGTTTTTGGACCTGGCAACCCTATTCCTAACCCTACATCATCCCGGCTTTCGTCAGCTCTCCCAGTCCCATCCGAAATGCATTTCGCTTGAAGCATTTTCATATTTGATGTTGCCGTAAGAGTGATTTTAAAAATGTGAAACAGAAAAACAGTACTGTGCTATTTCTAAAAGGAATCATTTAAGGAATATTTGGAGTTGGGAATTTTCAGTGTGCAATTTGGGTAAAATAGGCGTATCGTTATTTTGTGACGGAAAAGGTCGCAATTTCCGCGATAACGTAATTATTAGTACTTTGCATCATCGGAGCAGAACATTTTATAAAAATATATACTTATAATATCATATTTTCTTTATCATTCTGCAATAAAATTTATCAACAAATATCAAGAAACAGCAAATGAGGCGCCATTTGTTTATTTTCCCATTATTTCTTCTAGTTAGTTAAGAAATACTTTATCTTTATCTCCATAACTTTATTTTCCATATTTGTTAAACAAGCAAAGAAGCGCTCCTTGATATAAAGCTATGAACTCAAACAACCTAAATTCGGGGCTACAAATTTGAGTAGTGCGTTGGAAGTCTAAACACAAATCAACTTCAACTACTGGAGCTGGTAGGATACTTAATTAGATTTCTACTGCCAGCAACACGCCCGTCTCATGAGCAATCGCCTAACTTTATCTTCTTCGAGTAACATGTCGGGATTAATGAAACTTATTCATCTTATATCATTATTATAGACAATAATAGAGTAGTTAAGTAGACATAAACTATGCAACTTACAATAGGTCTTACCTACGAAATTGCCATTTGGAATAGCAGTTAGACGTCCAAAAAGCAATTACTTTTGGAGTCTAGGTATTAAGTCCTATTGATTTCAATAAAAAGTCCAACTTATTTAAATCTAGACATATTATAACAAAAGTCTATGTTAGGTATGTGTTACTCTATAGGTTCTAAGTCTTAGCCTTACCGTTTTCTAGACAAAGTCCCACATAAATAAGTGCCTTTATTGCACTGGACGTCCAAATACAAAACAATTACATTAACACGAAGTTGCAAACTGACACGTAATATTTTCGACTTCATCATACCTACTATACTGGAACTCCCCCTTTCCAGGTTAATGTTTCACAATATTTAGCTAAACGGTACCACAATTGCGTATCCCTGTGTTGTGTGTAACCCTCAAACGTCGTCTTATTTGTTCTCTGTACTAAAACAAGGAATTTCAGTCTCGTACATCCATTCTGGTTCATACCGCTAATTCTCTTCGCCGCAGTTACGTCTTCGGGGAATCTGAATAAAGTTGGGAGCCCTATTAGGGGTGTTACATTGTGCCACACATATTGCTACTTACATGTTACATATTATTTTATTAGTGTTTATTTGATTGCTCGAACAATCGGGGTTAAATGTAGTTTTTTTTAAACCAAATTATTTTTACTTAGCTTCTGCCCATGTAGATTTCGGTATATCACAAGTGAAATATTGGAGCTTTATCACAAATAAATTAACATGCCTTGACCACTTGATTTCCATAAACCTTAATTTATAATAGTGTTCAATGCGCGTTTAAAAAACTTTTTCTGATAACTCTATGTCTTAAAGTAGCTCTCTTTCAGATGTGTTTTAGTAAAAAGGCTGTAACTAATTACATTACTTTTACGCTGCGTAACGTGTCTCACATTTTATCCATATTCGGTTGTAGCAACTTTTTTAATTTATGGAAAGTACAGTCAGCAGCACCTCGTCTTAAGTTATATTTTTTTTTGTGAAATAGCACCTATAACATCTCCATCAAAGGTTCTATGTACCATCTTTTGTACTGTATTGTAAAATACCACTTAAAGCACATGGTTTAACTGGATGCCGCCTGTAGGTACTCCGTAAGTCTCAAGTAAGCCGGGTTCATACCTCCACAATTTATCCGCGCCTGTAACAAAAGCGCTGAATTTTGCCTCCTCTCGTTGAGTTTAAGATGTTTTTGTAATGAGAGCGCCAGTTTCAACGTCTTGAAGCTGCTCCTTTATAATAAGTTAATGGTACCTAATTACACAGGATATAAACAGCTTCAATAACTACGGTAAAGATAACTTCTTAGCGCGGATTTGCCCGCGTAGCCTGTATATCATCTTTATTTTATGATGACAAAAATTCACAGCTCTTAAGAACAAAATAATTTAAAAAAAAAAAATTTTAGCCCACCAATACACCCATCCCGTGCCTAAAAGGATTGTAAAATCCAAACCAAATGTAGGTAAACTATTCTCATAATTATAAAGTATGAAACTTGGTATCCCTAACTTTAAAGTTACGGGTCCCGCATACAATCAATTACTACATTGAAGTTATTCGATTAAAAATGGCCAATTCCTTCTCCGAAGTCCAATCGATCTCAATAAAAAAAACATTAAAATTGGTTCAGTATTTGTGAAAATTTTACAAACAAACGAACAGCTATTTTACTTTCCCATAAAAGTATAAAAGTTAATATCGTTTTAATTTTCATTAAAAGAGCATACCTACCTAGTATTTTATGAAAGCAACCAAAATATAAACTCGAATACCGTGTGTAAAATAACTTCATTAATTAACCCCTGCTAGTTTTACCTCAGAGCAAATAAATTCCAGTAAGCCAAGCGAAGTATTTAACATTAATTTGTGATGGCTACGTCGACATTGTTCACTTGCCAATTAATATTTAAATTACCTATCGATTTTAACTTCGGTTAAATGTAACTGATTTGCCATATTTGTATGTCGAAATAAATGGAATTGTAGTAACAAATTGTGTGTTAACTGTACGGTAGTGTAGTAACATAACAAGCAATGTGTGTAAATGGGAGGTATTGTAAGCGAGTTGATGCCTTTACACAATTGAATTAAATATTGGATGAAATTGCATGGTGTTTTCATTCGAAGCAAATTAAATCCGTATGTGAATGAGTTTACGCTTTATTTTGGCGTTAAAACCTTGAAATCAACATTCAGACATTAAAAGGAAATAAAAATAATAAGAATTTAATAAATACAAATAGTTAATAGGATTTATGTTCATGGGAAGGGAATCATGAAATAGTTAGGTACATAAGTAAATACTATCTAAGTTTGTTCACTATCCAAGTCATCACAATACAAATGACAGCACATCAAGCTAAATACGGTGGCACTTTTCTTGTTGTATCAGAGGCTATTTTGCAACGATTTTGTAAGGTCTAATGTGCTGTGGACTGTACATATTTAATGCAGTCTACACACCAAACCTTTTTTGACATGACTTTTAACATGTTGTTAAAGTACTTACCTTCGACAGGCTTTCGGCGGGCTTGGTGTGTAGAGTCCCTAAAACTAGCTCTGTTTCGTTTGAGGTTAAGTCATCACCATCATTTCAGCCATAGGACGTCCACTGCTGAACATAGGCCTCCCCCAACGATTTCCACAATGGCCGGTTAGTGGCGGCCTGCATCCAGCGCCTTCCCTCTACCTTTATGAGGTCGTCGGTCCACCTTGTGGGTGGACGTCCTACGCTGCGCTTTCCGGTGCGTGGCCTCCACTCCAGAACCTTCCTGCCCCATCGGCTGTCAGTTCTGCATACTAGTATATGCCCTGCCCATTGCCACTTCAGCTTACTAATACGCTATGTCAGTAGTAGAATGAGGCTAAGTAATTGGTATTAAAACAAAATTGTTCATATTACTGTTATTGCAATGTTCACTTTTGTTCGCAGACGACTACAACAGAGTGGTGCTAGATTCAGTGGACCGGGAGCCAGACTCCGATTACATTAATGCTTCCTATATAGATGTAAGTAACACAACATTAAAAGCCATTTTCTTTAACTATAAACATAGAAATAGGATCGTACTGCCAACGTTATCTTCTCTAAGTACTGTGGTACTGCATTAAAGGCTAATTTACACGTATTGTAGTTAAAAAGGTGACTAAATTTTAACCTCATTTTAAGTGATTGCATGTAAACACAGAATTTAGTAGCAATTTGCAAGTTAAAATTTAGTTGTTAACTAACTTGTGTTTACATGCAATTCAATCACTTAAAATTATGTTAAACAGTTACCTACGTAACTACTTAATACGTGTAAATCAGTCATATTATTAAGATAAACGGCTGGCAAGTAAGTCAACGCAAGTTATGAAAATATGTAGGAATTAGCAGCAGTTGATTCAAATTTCGAATAACCCAAAACAATTGAGGTGCGAAATATTTATTTAAGCGAATCAGTATTCGGACTTTTTGGAGGGGAAGTGAAACGTCAGGTTTTTTTTCCTCTTTCAATTTATGGCTTCCTGCGATTTGCACATAGCCAGTGTTCACTTTCCCGCCAAAGCGTCCAAGCGTCATGTTCATGATAAAAAGCGTTGAATCGAATTTCGAATTCGAGCACGAAAACAAGATGTGTGAAATTAATTTCTACAGTTTCGATTTTGCAAATCGGTATTCGATTTGGATTAAAAATGCCCTAAAATACGTTTCTTGAGGAACTCATTTAAAAACGTTTCCATATCTTCCTAAAAAGTCAGTATATTGAAAGGATTTATACAGTTATAAATCTATAGCCAAAGAGTACAAAAGATAAACGAAACGCCTATAATGATTTAGCATTGAACAATCCTACAGCTTTATTATGAAGAGGCTGCTTCCCAGTCGGGTCACGTACCGCCATAATAATTCCAGGAATGTTACTCAAGGGAACCAACGATAAATACGAGTCCCATGAACACCCGGTGGATACGATCGCATTTTAATACTGAAGAAGTAAATAAAGAAAATAAATCATTTGTATTTACATAACGTGCCCTGGATTGAAAAATAATCTGTGAACCTTGTCTTGACAATTATAAAAACGACAAAAAAATATTAACCACATTGACCTAGCCAAAGTCAAATCAAGTGATACAAGTTTACATTTTGTCGCTAGTAAGTACCATTTCACCATTGTATTTGTTAGTTTTGGAGTTCTCACTCTTCTCTCATCCTATTACCTCATATCACATGCATAAGGCCACTATGTTTTTAAATGCTTCAATGAATAAATCCACAATAAAAGAGGATAATCAACTAAAATATAAGGTGTCTGCCAGTGGTGAGAGACTGGTACCTAATGTAGATCTTTTAAAAAGATAAATAAAGCCCTTTCAAAATTATGTACCTAATACCCTCCCGAAAATGAGACCGCCCCGTGTTTCAAAGTGAGGCCGTAAGGAAATTATAAATTGAAAACAAGTCAATGTTTTTCCAGCGCCGGGTTGCGTTTACACTTCCTAATTGCTCAAAAAATGTTTGGGAATAAAAATAAACACCGTCCCCGTGGGTATAATCAGCGCCCTTCCGCTCAGCATTATTCTGAAAGGCCTGAAAGGTCCATGAACATAAAACTCGGCTAAAATTTTCGATTTGCGTCGAACATTTAACCTGGATACCCAATACTCTGAAATTACCTAGAACCTTTCTACAACTGTAGCTGTGCACAATACTCCCTTTGGAATTTAAATCTTACGACTATGTTAATAAAAGCTGATTGGGAAAATGATTACGTAAAGTAGAAAAATCATGATTTTGTGAATATCACTGTTGGTTATTTTCATATGGTGTATTTTTCTAACCTTTTCTACAATGTTTGTTGTCCTTGGTTGCCCCCTCAAGAACACCTGAATATTTTAGCGACGTTAAAGTAAATAAAAAATTAAATGGATTTTAGGTTACTTTTTTCGTTACTAAGTGAAGGTAAGTGCTAAGAAAGTGTTGGCAGAGTCTATAAAAAGTCTCATTTTAAAAGCATTTCGTATTTACATTCATCTACGTAGATACAAAATGACAAACAGTACAAATAGGTTGTTGCAAATGACAAGGGTCAAAGATCCAAGAAAGCCCTTGAGTGCAGGGCACCGGAACTTTCGTAAAGGGCCCAATTATAAACGGGGTCGATTCTGCTAAAGTGGACTGCTCTACGCATTATGTTCTAACGCCTTTGTCGGAAAAATAAACGGACCAACAACGATTGCAAATTAGAAAGTTAACGCGTTGTTAAACAGCAAAGTGGGGGTTTTGTTTGTAATACTGATTTTTAACATTAGACAATTGGAGCGGAGATTTTTCTCAGTAATAAAACATCAAATAAAAGCTTGACTTGTATTAGCAACAATAGAAAATATTCAAAATCTAAGGTCCTTTGGTTGGAAACCCCTTTCGTCAGCATCCAAAACCTGATAATGAAAGACAACTTATGTTGAGCTTCTGGGTAATCTCGCTGAAGTGAGATGCAGGCCAAGTGCTGCTCCGGTGTAGGTAAAAAATTAAATAAAATCTCAATGCACACATCCTAGTCGCCACGAGTAGGTCAATCTTTTAAAATATTGATGCTTTTAAATAACTGTTGGATAGTGCGGTGTGTACCGATACACCACGTTTCATCTTCTATAGGTAGGTAGGTACCTATTTAATATGTCACATGAAATGTAAACAAACTAATATTGTCCACAGAGTGTTTTAAAGCCGAACGCGTATATAGTGACGCAGGGGCCAACGGAGGACACGGTGGTCAGCTTCTGGCGGATGATCTGGCAGGAGCGCGCCGCCGCCATTGTGATGCTCACCAAGACTTTCGACTTTATCAAGGTAATTGTAGAGTGCACTGTCGAGACCTTAACAATATCTAAGATTCACTTGTATGAATGTCTGCTACTTGTATAGCAGAATTTAATGAAATGGCGATCAACATTATCGTGGACAGGGTATAAGAGAAGCACGAGTATAGGATATTTTTACCCTACCAATCAATTGGACGTACTTACCTATTTTTTATGAGCTGTACTAACTACTTTTCGCCTAACTTCAAAAATCAATTGAGTTGAAATAATGTTAGAATTAATGCTGTGCAACGGAGGAGACTTCAATTTAGAATTTTAAGAATTTCGGAAACTGCCCCTCTTGTCTTATTTAACTCATCATAACTATCAATATCAAGTTCACAAAAGTGTCTCGTGTTCCCGAACGACAATAACCCGAAAGGCATTATATACCTGCCTAACTTATGAAGATATTTGCTTCAACGATGGACCTTTGTCCAACAAATGGGCTAGTAATAACCGTTCCAATGTCAAAGGTACAGTCGGCGGCTCATCGTACCTACTAATCATTTTTGTTGCAAAGTCACCTTTATTGCGATGAGATAAGACGCCACTGCTTTAGCTTGATGTGCTGTAAGGGATATTACGTTCGTAAAAGACGGCGACCTCACAACTTTGTCACTGATACTTGAGAAGAAGCTTGAGAAAAACTTTATTACATCCACGGAGCTGGTATCGCGTTTCACAGGAGGCTATGGATTAAAGGCTTTGAACTTTATTTATCTGGATTACAAGTTATTTTCTTAGCAAAATATAATAATATGTAAAATATTGTAAACAATTTAACCCTTCAAGTACTCGCGAATCGAGACAATAGAAATCAATTGTTGCTGCGGCCTCAAGCGACCGCTTAGGATTTGATGGTTAATCAAAATTAAGTTTTTAAGCCGATTATAAATATTCATATATTTTTGGGTTGACAATATTGTTCTGATAATCTAACAGTGGACTGAAGCAGAATGACATTATGGCAGTAGGACGTAGGTTCAAATTTTGTACATACCAGGTTTTCTACCTTTAAAGCTCTACCTAGAATCCAAATCTTTGTCAATTAAATAAGTAAATAGTCAATAGAAAACAGCAGAATTTGATAAATGCGATGTCCATCTACCCAGATCAAATAACAAAACTCTATAAACATCAACGTAAATTGAACGGCGTATTTTCAACAATGCGGACTTACAAAATAAAAAGTGAATTGAATAAGGTTAACTTAAGGCGGGCTACTCATGAATATCCCCCAATATCCTTCAAAACCCATTGGCCGCCAAGAATGAAAGTGTAATTTTAAGTAAGTCCTCGTCAAACCCGCCGCCTTTTTTCGCTTTTGTTACGGCCGTGCGATGGCGGCTAACTTTATGACTCAGTGAGTCGAGGTGCCAAAATTTGGGAGATATTTTTCGCTCTATTTGTCGACGCAGACGCAAAATTTCCATTCGGTTATAAAAGCTACTGATAAAACTGTTGCAGAAAATATTATATTTTCTCGTTCGCTCTGAGCGATTGAATTGTGATATTTAAATATGGTATTGGATCTACCTCTGAATACAAGACTGAGTTTTCCATTCAACAATTTCGATAACGCTGAATGTGCAATATTTTATTGTCAAAATGGATTTGGAGCGTAGGTTTGAATTCTCGTATCTCTTTGTGGTATTTGTTTTCAAGTTGACATTCCTTCTAAAAGTCTTGTTAACGTGATCAAAGAAGTCTTGGATCCCTATAGCTATACCTTATACCTTGTAAAATACCTACACATAAGCTAGTAGGAAAGATTTATAACAAATTGTCATACGATATAAAATTAAAACAATCGACGATCAACAAAATTACAAATGTAACCAATTTGATATCATTAGTAACAGACGCTGTATGTTGTAAAATAGGCCTAGGCGCAGACCACCGACTTTTAGTTGACCGAATAGTTGGGTTGGGCCTGATTCTAATTTGTAGAAGAATCGGCCGATACCAAATCGGTGTAATGTGCTCACTTTTATACATCTCCGTACTGATTAACAGCCCTATCTAACTATCGGCCAACTAAAAGTCGGTGGTCTGCGCCTAGGCTAAAGGTTCCTTTCTACTTTGTCTTTTTATAGACTTAAACCGTTTTTCTTTGGACAGGTAATGTGTGTTCAATACTGGCCACCGAACAAAGAGAAAGACGAGACGTACGGCGACATCAGCGTGGGGATCGTCCAGGAAGAGGAGCTGGCCAATTTCCACATAAGAACTTTTAGACTTTACAAGACAGAAAAAGACGTAAGTACACGAGAACAACTGCATTTAACCATTAATTTGTGAGTTAAAGCTGATTTTTAGGGTCTGTATTTACTTACCAGAGCCTTTACTTACCAGGAGCAATATAGTTGCAAGCTTTCATTCATGAACGTTGAGGATACATTGCAATAAAATTCTAAATAGTTAATTGAGTTCACTTGCTAAATAATTATTCTTTGAAAGAATATGAATTTAACAAATAATCGCAAGTCATTTATTTAGTCTCCACTGCTGGAACACGACTCTTTGTAATTAACCAGAGGCATAGAGGATTTGTGGATTAAATTATTGTCTGAACAACATTTTTAATGCAGACTCTGATTTAGTGCAATAATTTAAATTTTCAACTTCATTATTTTTTCTGAAAGCTATAACAAAAGTTAGTAGGTAGGTACCTAGTTTAAAGCTCATAGCAGACTTATCAAACGTTACTGTGCGGATAAGTGGCAGTATAACTAAGGCTGGGTTGCACCATCTTACTTTAACTTTGACAAACGTCAAAAATCTGTCAAACTCCATACAAAAACCACCGGTTATCGTTAAATTTACGGTCAAAGTTACATGGTGCAACTCAGCCATAGAGTTTCGTACATAATATTATAAATGTGCGACGACCTTAAATCTTAACTTTTTGGTCCAGGTGGTGGTGGAGGAGCGGTTCATCCTTCAGTTCCACTACACCCAGTGGCACTCGCACACGTGTCCGTTCAGCAACGCACTCCTGGAGTTCAGGAGACGCGTCAGGGCGGTTGTGGGGAGACGACTGGCCACCAACCCGGCTGCTGGGCCAATGGTGGTACATTGCAAGTAAGTTCTTATATTTATTAACGTTGTAGGTACTATCGGCAACAGTGTTAACTACCCATTGCCGGTCATACCATCTCGTTCTATCGCAAAGAATCACCATTTGATAACAACAAGAGCAAAAACGGAAATAAATGAATAGTTAACACTGTGGCCGTGTGTACAGCTACTACTACTGAAAATAGCATCACACTTATGATGCTATATGTAGATGCCGTCGTCTAAATATTGCCTGCTAACGATCTCTTTTTCCTTAGTTATGGAAATTTAATCGCAATGTGACATGAAGATCACAGGTTTCCTAGAAATCCTTATTATAGGAAAATAAAAATACAGAGTGACAGAAATCATTCCTTGCTAGTCATTATAAACGGAGAAGACACTGAAATTTCCTACTGTTATTCTGACAAATCTTATCTTAAAATATTTTAATCATTAATACCAGCATTTGCTATTAATGCTGGTATTAATGATACCAGTGGTCGTGACGTGCTCTCTGCCGTCACGGCTTATACTGAGCAGATGCCATTTTGGTGCGTGTACTCTGTCTTTAGTGTTTAAGTTGTTATTTATTTGTAACGCTTTTAATACTCGCATCAAATAAATACTTTCTTTCTTTCTTTCTTTCTTTCTTTTATTCTTTATTATTATTTTATAAGGATTACTATCAAGATTTCCTAAAATCGTCTTGCATCGCAATAAAAATTTACCATTTTCCAGCTTAAGTTGTAATAAATTATAATTTATGGTGAACGACCCGTAAGGGGAATACAACTTATGCATTGTCATAGTTTATGNAGTTTATAAGAAAACGAACATTGTAACTGATAAAAATACTTGTTCCAGTGACGGAGGAGGTCGATCGGGCGTGTACTTGGCCATCGACGCCAACCTAGAGTTAGCTGAAGAAGAAGACTGCTTTGATGTTTTCGGGTATCTGAAGAAACTCAGACAATCAAGAAAAGGCCTTATTGAGAACGAGGTAGGTTCTTTTTGCATTTATTTATGTAGTGTAAAAAAATCTCATCGATGTTACATTTAATAGATCTTATAATACTCAAGGTATGTCTTTTATCTTTAGAGCTAAGATTTATGCAATGCTCAAAATATACGTGTAAATCATCACAACTAATTTCTAAAGGAGACTCGTAATTTCCAATTGCACTCAAAGGAAGCATTTCTCTTCACACTTTGTACGTTTTGACATTGACATACAGATAACATAGAGAACCTCGCTTGAGTGACAGGTCGCTTCATTCATCGCTACATTAATAGAAATCGACTTGTCGCTGTTTGTGTTGGGTGTCATTGACAAATTGGCCACTCGCCCGGCATTTACGGCATGTATATCATCGAATTTACATCTGAATTTTATTGTAAATCACATCTTATTTGTCAAGCTGTAAATCATATTTTTGCATGATTTTTAAATGTTTTTATTGTAGAAATGATGAGTAAAAGATCTCGTTTGAACGTTTCTGTCTCTTGTCTCAACTGAGTTTTAGAGGCATTTTTTGCAGAGGGTAGTTTACCTTGGGATTGGTACACTTGGCCTTTACTGAAGGTTATTTACAATTAAAACTGGACCTTATCTTCCCTCAGGAACAATACAAATTCGTGTACGACACGTTAGAAGAGCACGTGGTGTGTGGCATTTCCTGGTTCCCCGTCTCCGAACTATCTCAAAGACTGAAACAGAAATCGCAGAGGGACCCCTTGTCGAAACTCAACGAGTACCAGAAGGAGTACCAGCAGATATGCAAGCAGACCCCACGGTTTACTATCGGGGACTGCGCAGGGGGGCATAGGGGGGACAACAGAGAGAAGAATAGGGACGTGCTGGTTGTTCCACGTAAGTATAGATTAATCATCAGAATTTTAGCCTATGGCAGTCCACTGCTGAACGTAAGCCTTTAAGGTACTTAGTGTAACACCCACTTTTTGAGGTAGTCAGCTTATTAAACAGGAGGTCTCTATTTATTAGATTTTTGACTCCTTTTGAGAAAGCCACTTTCACTTTTTATCAGTTCTACAACTAATACTACTACAACTACAGCCAACTGTCACTTCAGCTTGCTACATTTTCGAAATATTCAACCTTTGCATAATGGCAAATATTTTGTTATAACTTCATAATATTTTGTGTTGTTTGCAAACATTTCTTATTTCTTTCAAGTTATCAAAAAGATAACATACTGTAAAATCTTTGACTTAATCAAATGAAATCAAAAAATATTTATTACCCTTCACAATAATTCAAGTACACAATAAGTACCTACAATCGAAATTAAGCCAAGGATTTAAATTAACGTCTTATATTTTCATCCCTAGCTTTGTTCTTGTACGTTCCACTGTGTAACCCCTGTTTATTCTGCCTCCTCAGCGGACAATTTCCGACCGTACCTGACGTCGTTCCAGGGCAACAGTTTTACGGACTACATCAACGCTGTCTTCGTGGACGTAAGCGGAATTTCCCTTTGTTTACTTTACTAACAGATGAACAAGATTTTAAATCTTAACCATTTAGGGTGGATTCGACCAAACAAGAGTAAATATTAATCTCAGAATAAATCGTCAGTTTTGACATATTTCCCATACTGAAACTGTCAATGTGCTAGTTATACCTACCAGGAGTTATTCTCGGATAAAAGTTTGGTCGAATCGGCCCTTAGTATAACGTTTAAAATCGATTAGTTATGTCAGCAGCATGAATGAGCACTGATAGTTCCTATAAATGTCATAAATGTTGCAATTTCTTACAAAACTTGCGCACAAAAAGCAAATCTAGTATGAAAATCATCAAACTTCTAATGCTCGTAACTCAGTTCAGACTGAGTTTAGAGGTATACATGCCATAGTAAGTTTAGTTTATTACACTATTTTGTAATCAAAAAACAAAGTTTGGTCGATGGCCGCGCAAAAAAAAAAAGACGCCACTTTCCATACAAAATCTGGCATTGCCATTTTCCGCAAAGGGTGAGTAGATTACTAGTAACAATTTTATTTTAAGTAGCAAGGAAGTTCAATCTTGACATTATGTAGGTAGGTACTTACTTAAGTACAGTATTTCATTTTTTTTTCCTTTTCAGGGATACACAAAACCTCGGGAGTACATAGTGACGGAATGGCCTCTAGTGAGGACACAGGGAGAGTTCTGGTCGCTAGTGTACGACTACGAGTGCGCGGCGGTGGTGGTGCTATGCGTACCACCCAAGAATTCAGTAAGTACATTTTAAAGAACGTTTAACACGAATTAGTAAATTAATTCTTTAGTATCATCATCATCATCATCAACAGCCCTTTACAGTCCACTGCTGGACTATGAGCCTCCTCCACTATAGTAGAGGGTTTTGCCATAATCCCCACGCTTGGCAGGCGGATTGGAGATCGCAGTTTAAAAGATTGATGTTTTTCAGAGAGCGCTGCTGCCCGTTCTCTGTTTGATGTGTAGTCCCTAAGTCGCCTCTTACGACACCCGCGGGAAGAGTAGGGGTTGGTGACAAATGTATTCTACTCTGCCGTCACCACACGGCAATTCTTTAGTATATGCAGCTCAAAACATTTAAAAATTCTACGTAAAAAGTTATTTAAAAATAGTTCATGAAATTAGTAATTTTTATTGACAAGTTGTAATTAAAATCAAAATAGATAAATCAAAATAAAATGTGATAGGTATTGCGACATTATTTTTATCAGCCAGGGCATTTTTAATTGTCAGCCAATAAAATTATCTCCGCTGGAAAAAGTTCGCATCATGGACTCCTTCGTCAAGGCCTTGGCTGCGCGACACTGGCCACCAAGAAAACTGTATTCTTTTTTTCATCGATGAATACCGTTACTCTATTGTTATTTTTTCTCCTCTTGACACGAATTTCCACGATTGTTTTTTTACGACCCGAGTTCGTTTGTTTCAATCAAATGATGTCCACTTAAAATCTACAAAACCATACAAGACTTAGGACCCATCGAGCCTCTCTATATTGAAGGTAAAAAAGGATTCGATTACATTCTCATTAAAATTGTAGCTCTTACATTTTTTATTTTTTTGTTGCAGCAACAATTTCCACCGTTCTGGCCCGAAGGCCGACATTCTAAGAAATACGGCCCCGTTTTCACGATAGACCACGTCTCGCACAACCACTACACAAACATCAAGACCTGGATCTTCAGAATCAACAAGAAGGTAAGGTCTAGGTCCTAGTATAAGGCTGGGTTGCACCATCTTACTATAACTATAACAAACGCCAAAAATCTGTCAAACTCCATACAAAGCACCGGATTATCGTTATAGTTACCTTTGGTTAAAATTGGGTGGCAAATCAGCCTAAGTAAATGAAAAATACGTTCTTTTTGCTCCCCAAAGTGAACAGAATAATAATGTATTTCGTTTAGCATTGTAGTAGGTATGTGCGCTAGGAAAATTCCATGCGGGTGAATTAACTTTACAATGAAAACACAACGCAACATACATGAAATCCTATAACTTAAGAATCTTTTAAGTTATAGGATTTCAAGTAACTTGAGTTAAAATCTCTTTAATTTTTATAGTCTCGTTGTTTCTTTACGACCACGTAGCTTTAGAGATTCAAATTATCAAAATTACTTTATGATTTTGCAGTGTTTTAATATATTTCATCATCAAAATGTGGTTTACATTTCGTTATTTGTACAAACTCAGACCTATCCTAGATTTATCTAGGATTATCCTGGTAATTTATTACTGGGAAACGGTCAATCCCTCTGATCAAATATGTATAAGGACGAGAATCCTATCAGCCACGGCGGAGCAAGGGGCTAGTTTCTATAAATATCTTAGTAACCGCTTGGTAACATTGATAAAGGCTGAAAAATGTTCTTATTGGTATAATACCAATACCTGTGAATCTACGACGTCAACCCACACCCCCTTTCAGTCATGCACATGTCACGGGGGTGAAATTAGTGTCATAGCTTACGAGTGAATTCTATCATCATCGTTTGCCCAACATCCTGATGCGTGCCAATAACATTTGTAATTATTTTTTGCCATTATTTTGTTACATGTTTCTCAGTAACTTGTGTAATTTTAGTTATGGTGTGGATGCTTCTTAAGACGTTACTATTGCTATTTATAGAACTAAAACTATTCCAGGCAGTTCTAGCTTACTGGAAAACAATTAACTTGTTGCTATTCGATCCACTGTTTCATCGTTACTCAATGCCGAGTCCAATAAGTATTGTGCTTTTATTGTTTTCCATTCATTCATCTTAACTAGGCAGTTTCAATCAATTAGTAATTTTGTACATCTCGAATTCTCGATGCTTTCAGGCATTAATTTGACATTCTTATCTCTTTCCTTAAGAACATAGGTTACATTCTTCTGCTTTCACGCATTAATGTTGTTCCCTGAACAACTTGACTTGTTCCCTGAAGTTTCAGCTAAGATACTTACATACTAATTATATTGGATGTACACGACCGGTAGAATCTATGGGGGTCGTTTTTGTCCAGCAGTGGACGGTCTTTAGCTGAAATGATGATGATACTAATTAAAATATCTTGTGCCCAGATCGTATCGCTCACGGAGCTGATGGCAGGAGTGAAGGCGCCGCCAAAAACAGTGCAGCTTTTCCAGCTGACCTGCTGGCCCATGGGCCACAAGGTGCCGTCGTCCACCAACTCACTGGTCGAGCTCATGAACATGGTGGAGCGATGGCGACAGCGAACCGACTACGGACCAGTTTGCGTCGTGTCACCGTGAGTTTTTATTCTGTTAAAGTGTTTTATATAGGAAAAGATATTGAAGCTGTTCCAGCTGACCCGCTAGCCCATGGGCCACAAGGTTCCGCCGTCGACCAACTCACTGGTCGAGCTCATGAACATAGTATAGCGATGGCGGCAGCGAACAGACTACGGACCAGTTTACGTCGTGTCACCGTAAGTTTAGCTACCAAATATTGGAGAAAAATTGTGTTAGCAGTGAAAACTTTCAGCTCGGGGAAAGCAATGGCTTGCAGTCAACTTGCAGTAGCTAGCCCATAGATCACAAGTTATGAATCATCCTAACTCACTTTAGATAATTACCTATGGAGCTCATGAACATGGCGATGGCGGCAATGTCAAGCAACATTTACCTATTGTACAGAAAAATTCAGGGTTAAATGCTTTCAATTAACTCGCTGACCCTTGGAGAATAAAAAGTAGTTCTTCCATTAACTTCTAGCTCATTAACATTGTGAAGCGGTGGCGGTAGCGGATCGACTACTGTATTTTCATATACTGTATTATTTGTATACCTGACATAAAAATAAATCGGATTACCAACAAGACTCTTGTCACTGACAAAACGAGCAGGATTTTACCTGATCCGTTCCCTAACATTTCTAATTCGCTATTAGGTTCAAGTTACTGAGCTCCTCAAGACTCTTGAGAGGTCAGCGAGCAACCCTTCCTAACCTCTTCCTTGAGATGGCGCTGACAGGGGTATGATAAAGGTTCCCTTGCATCGAATTATTTATTTACTTAATAGAGTTATGATAGTCGAGTCACGGTGATTTCACAAACTATAAGGTAGGCAAATTGGGTTCCGGATGGTGAAATAGAAACTCGATTGGGTGAGGTAAAATGTTTACACAATCTAAGGTAAAAAAATCAAGTTATTTTTATACTAAACACCCTAAAACTTTGCTTTAGAACCGATATAGACCCGACTCGATTATGTCATGACCGCTAAAAATAATTTAAGGCAAATTTTATTGTTGCGGAAGCTTTTTACTTAAAAAAGCAAGATACGATTTATTAACAAAGTCACAGTTAGAAGCACAATGCTTTTAACTTTTTTGTAATATTAATTGTGTAAGTAATACGGCGAAACACAATTATTGCTCGTGGTCCACTTTTAGAAAATAAACTCTGTTCTTGGTTCGTTTCTCATAGGATAGGTAGGTACTGTACCTAATCCTGGACCATCATAATTATCTTTCATTTGAATTTGAATTTATTAAAAAAATGATTTCAAAAATTTGAATTTATTTTGCAAACAATTAACCTACATAGACTAAATATTTACAAATATTTACAAATAAACATTTCAAAATAGTTGTTGCAAAAATAGCAGCTTAATGAGCTGATGTCTCCACCTAGTCTAATGCAATAACTGACAGAACCAGAACAGAGCCGTGTCTTGTTTTCGGCAATTTTTAAACCCACTTTGTTCATTAGCTTGATATGGTTTTGTATTGTAGCTACAGTTTTAGAGAGCTTGTTCGTTGAGTGCTATGTACAAGGTGGCCCAGAAAGAAATTCACTTTTGAAAATTCAAGGAAAAAAAATCTGTGTAATTTTGTAGAACTTTATTAATTACAATTCAAAGAAAATGAAATGGATTTTTTTATTAAATTTACCTTTATTAAATTACATCGTCTAGGAGATTTCCTTGACGCTTACAATATTCAATCAAAATGCATCAAAATCTTGAAATGCGTTCGTTAGAACTACCTACCTCGAAACTTATTTTCCATTTTTTGCCGAATGTTCAGCTTCAGTTGCTGCATGGTTGTTGGATTATAAAAGTATACAGGGTGTCCCGTAATGTAACGTCAAGCCGGAACTGGGTGTTGAGGCAAGTTATGCTGGTTATTAGAAAAATATAAAAAAAAATCTATATGGCATATTTTCAAAATAATGGGCATTTAAAAAATGCCCATTATTTTGAAAATAACGAGACAAAATTTTTATTTTGAAAATTTTAACAACGAGATTAATAACGAGACAAAATTTTTATTTTGAAAATTTTTTTGGGAATAATTTATTTTTTTTATCCAAGCTGGAGCAGCTGGTTTTGTAATTTTGATAACAATTTAGAGAAGCATTATTCAGGGTTACATAACAAAAAAAAAATTTGGAAAAAGTGAAGATTTGTGGCAACACGAGTAAAAAGACAGTCACCTGGAGTAGAAATTTTTGTTTTTTTTAAATGCCCATTATTTTGAAAATATGCCACATAGCTTTTTTTTATATTTTTCTGATAACCAGCATAACTTGCCTCAACACCCAGTTCCGGCTTGACGTTACATTACGGGACACCCTGTATAACACCACAAAAAGGAGTTTTCTGGGGTGAGATCAGGACTTTCTGGTCGCCAGGAGATTTCACCCCTGCCTGAAATTATTTTTTTGTGGGAACATGTCTCTTACCATCCAAATGCTCTCATTTGAAGTGTGACACGTAGCCCCATCTTGATGAAACCAAGTGCTATTGTTATAGCCTTGCGAATCTTGACACTTTGAAATCAAGAAGCCGTTCAGCATGCCAGTATAGCTCTCTCAAAAATTAATCATCCTTTCGATGCAACAAACCAATTAAGCAGGTATGAAATCTCATTGCCACTAAGAAGCCCTTATCTCATTCCAGCAGACTTCTTTTTGTGGGGTTACGTTATGAGCAGTGTATACTCTAATAATCCAAAAACTCTGGAGCATTCATCCATCCTAAATCCATTTAGAGGTAACTCTAACGAAAGTTTTCCAAAATTTTTATGCATGTTGGTTGACCGAATGTTGTAAATGTCAAGGGAATCACATGTACGATCAAATTAAAAAAAGAAAATAAATTTAAAAATAAATTGCATGAAATTTCCTTTAAATTGCAATAATTAAAGTTCTACAAAAATGTACAGTTTTCGTTTCCTTAAATTTTTAAAAGTGAATTTTCTTCTGGGCCACCCTGTATGTACTTGTACATACTCTTACTTACTTTACAGGCACTGTAGCTATGTAATCAAACATGTAAATACAGCCTTAACCTAAAATCTTCAGACCTTAATCCTTCATAAACTGAGGCAGCCCATTAGCATAACAAATTGTTATTCCATAGATAAAGCAACGCTCCGCGACTTAGTTAACCAACTCACGAACATGATCGATTCGCGGGTACCTACTTCGAACTAACGAACCTGAGACTTGTGCTCTGGAATATTTACCTGCTCAAATGTTTTGATGGTTTCTGAGAAGTACGCAAGCTTGTTTATTAACGACTAGCTCTAGCCCGCAGGTTTGCACGAGCGAAATTTGGTTTTTCACAAAAAAAATCGCGCGTTTCAAAAATCGGGTTAAAAACTATCCTATGTCCTTTCCCGGGACTCAAACCTCTATACCAAATTTAATCAAAATGAGTTCAGTGGTTAGGCGTCAAACCGTAACAAACAGAAAGAGCTACTTTCGCATTTAATATAGATAGTTAAAGTAGGGATTAACCTATATCGAATTAAGATTTATCCTAAACCTGAACATCTATCTGTCTTCTTACAACACATAATTGAGTTACACACAAACTAGTAAGATATCGTTAAATGTTCCTAAACAATCGTACCAATTCCGTTAATTTAGCTGTTAAGTCTTAAACGATCGTACACCACGTACGTAACTGAACCAATTAAAGTAATTTATTAATAGCTAAATCCCAGGAATCCGCACGAAATGCATTCCAGGTTTGCCAATTTACAACTTAGATCTATAGCCAGAACACTCAAGTTAATCCGGATTAGCATTGTGTTAAATTCAAATGGCACACAGTAACTAACTAAACACCTGGAGAGGGCTATATGCTCGGTGTTTCTTTACGAGATCGAATCAGAAATGAGGAGATCCGTAAACGAACTAAAGTCGCTGACGTAGCCCGACGAATTAGCAAGCTGAAGTGGCAATGCAAATGGGCATGTACACAGAACTGACGGCCGATGGGGCAGCAAGGTTCTGGAATGGAGGCCGCATACCTATGACTGAAATGATGATGATGATGAACTAAACACCTACGTAATATTACGAGTAAATACAATCTTGTTTTGCTATCTTAACAATGATTTTATATCGTGCGTAACTTTTAATGAATGCATGGTATTTGTGGTATTACTACGATAAAGTTAAATTCGTAGTATAGCTTATACTCTTAGTAATTTTCCCCAGAATCGTTTATTTGTTAGCAAATAATTTTACAGAAATAAGTTACATTTAGGTGCTTTGCTCAAATTTTGTAGCATAAGTGTTGGCCTGAAATGCCATTTACTCAGGAAAATTCTCTACCAAGGCATGGTATATTACATACAATCATTTATTACAATTAATCTGTAATTATTATTAGGCAGACTACGTCTACGACACATCGATCTAAACACTATCGTGACTGTGGCAACTTTTGAATAATGATAATACACATAAAATGTTATTAATCTGAGATATGGAAGTCATTGGGGGAGGCCTATGTTCAGCAGTGGACGTCCTATGGCTGAAATGATGATGATGATGAATCTGAGATATACCCAGGCTGCTTTTGCCTGCTAATCTGCTGTCGACTCTACAAAAATCAAATAGGTTTAAATATTGTCGATGCAGTTTGTCGTTAGCTACGTGAACCTCAGTGTAATGCTATGCATGCATTCACTTAGCTAGGTGCAACCAAGCGCATCGATGCGATGTTGATTGTCTCTATTAAAGCTTTGCCGGACTGTTCTTTGATTGGAGGCTGAGGCTCCCAATGGCTATAACATTAAATATCAATTTGGATAACACCAAAATTTAGCAGTTTGACTGGGGGGTACCTATACGGCACAAGAAAAATGCATTTGGTAGGCAGATACGATTCCTTTCCACGAAATTAAATTGTGGCCCAAACTTATCTGCTTTTTATAAGTACCATAATAGGCATAGATCATTGAAAGCTATATTGAATAATGACCGTGTAACAATTCACTCGTGTAGAATAATAATGAGAAAAGCAAAAGTTGGCGTCTTTTGCCAATACTGACACATGCGGATCTCGGTCAGAGTTATCCTTATAAGAAATCAAAGTTACTTCGCAGTTGAAGAAAAACAAGGATAATAAATGTTTTCGATATAAATAACGCAACTTTGGTAAATGTTGAAGTAAAGTAGAGTTGTCTATCCCCACTTACAGTTCGTGCCGAAACCTATAAAGTTCCAGATTACACTTTTACGGCTTTCTATTACAACAGTATTTCTCAAAGTGGGTGATAACACCCTTATGGGCGCTAGAGACCTAGAGAAGGTTTGTAAGGAATCCAGGTGGGCGATCTACTTAATATTTAGAAATCCACTGAAATGAAGACCTCCTAGGTAATGCACTATCAAAGATGTGGAAAAAAAATTGGGGGGCGCTGAAAAGTAATCAATTTTTAAAAGTGGGCGGTACAGGGAAAGTTTGAGAATCTTTGTATATATGTATTGTACATTTTGCCCTAACTGTGCCGTCTGCTGCAGGGACGGGCGCAGCCGCGCGGGCGTGTACTGCGCCGCCAACGCCTGCATCGAGCAGGTCATCCAGCACGGCGAGGTGGACGTGTTCCAGGCCGTCAAGACCGTGCGCCGCCACCGCCCGCAGCTCGTCGAGAACATGGTAAATAAAACTACAATCCAAAACGAATATCGGAATACCCATTTACATACAGTTTCAGAATTCCTAAATCCTTTGTCTATAAACTCGTTTTTCACAAACATTTTTCCCAGCGAGCACATCGTATCGAGGATAATGTTTTTCCACGTAACTTCCGTTCATTCAGCTTTTTCAGATTGGAATATCCAAAAACANGTAAGTTTAAATGATCGTCATCATCATTAGTCTGTGATAGTCCCCTGCTGGCTTACGTTCAGCCGCCTTTAAGGGACGCAACATAACACCTATTTCTTGAGGTAGTCGGTTTATTAAACAGGAGGTCTCTATTATATTACGATTGCCGAGAAGTTTGAATCCTTTTGAGAAAGCTTATACTTCACTTTTTATCAGTTCTACAACTACAGCCAACTGTCACTTCAGCTTGCTACATTTCGAATTATTCAACCTTTGCTGTCTTTGTCTGTTTGTTGTTTGACGTGTCTGGGTGTTACTATGTATAATATGTACAATTGTACATGTATTTACAAAAGTTTTTAACTATATTTATATCCATTGTCCAGTACCCATAGTACAAGCTTTGCTTAGGTTGGGACTAGAAGCGTAGTGTAAAATGTCCAAGGATATTTATTTATTATTTATTTATTTATTTTGCATAATGGCAAATATTTTGTTATGATATTTCTTATTAGATCATGTGAAAGAAGTAAATATGTTTAAATTATAACAAGTTATCAAAAAGATAACATGCTGTAGAATCTTCAAGTTAACGAACGTCTTATGTTTTCATTCCTAGCTTTGTTCTTATACGTTCCACTGTGTAACCCCTGTTTATTCTGCCTCCTCAGCGGACAATTTCCGACCGTACCTGACGTCGTTCCAGGGCAACAGTTTTACGGACTACATCAATGCTGTCTTCGTAGACGTAAGCGGAATTTCCCTTTGTTTACTTTACTAACAGATGAACAAGATTTTAAATCTTAACCATTTAGGGTGGATTCGACCAAACAAGAGTAAATATTAATCTCAGAATAAATCGTCAGTTTTGACATATTTCCCATACTGAAACTGTCAATGTGCCAGTTATACCTACCAGGAGTTATTCTCGGATAAAAGTTTGGTCGAATCGGCCCTTAGTATAACGTTTAAAATCGATTAGTTATGTCAGCAGCATGAATGAGCACTGATAGTTCCTATAAATGTGATAAGATTATGTTTCTTATTTTAAAAATGTATATCTACAAAATCTGTAACAACGACTAAATTTTCCGCAAAGTGTGAGTAGATTACTAGTAACAATTTTATTTTAAGTAGCAAGGAAGTTCAATCTTGACATTATGTAGGTACTTACTTAAGTACAAAGTATTTCATTTTTTTTCCTTTTCAGGGATACACAAAGCCTCGGGAGTACATAGTGACGGAATGGCCTCTAGTGAGGACACAGGGAGAGTTCTGGTCGCTAGTGTACGACTACGAGTGCGCGGCGGTGGTGGTGCTATGCGTACCACCAAAGAATTCAGTAAGTATATTTTAAGGAATTTTTAAGACGAATTATAAAATTATTTTTTTAGTATTAAGGTACATACGTAGCTCAAAACATTTGAAAATCTATGTAAAAAGTTATTTAAAAATACTTTTTTAATTAACTTAATTTTTATTGACAAGTTGTAATTAAAATCAAAGTAGGTAATCAAAATAAAATGTGATAGGTATTGTGACACTATTTTATCAAACAGGCCATTAATTTTTAATTGTCAACCAATGAAGTTCATTATCTACGCTAGAAAAAGTCCGCATCATGGACTCCTTGGTCAAGGCCTTGGCTGCGCGACACTGGCCACCAAGAAAACTGTATTCTTTTTTTCATCGATGAATATCGATACTCTTTTGTTATTTTTTCTCCTCTTGACACGAATTTCTACGATTGTTTTTCCATGATTCGAGTTAGTTTTCAATCAAATGACGTCTACATAATATAGTCTACGCCGTAGACTCTACGGAATCACACAAGACTTAGAGCCCATCGAGCCTCTCTATATTGAAGGTAAAAAAAGATTCGATTACATTCTCATTAAAATTGTATTTCTTACTTATTTTATTTTTTTGTTGCAGCAACAATTCCCACCGTTCTGGCCCGAAGGCCGACATTCTAAGAAATACGGCCCCGTGTTCACGATAGACCACGTCTCGCACAACCACTACACCAATATCAAGACCTGGATCTTCAGAATCAACAAGAAGGTAAGGTCTAGCTCCTAGTATGAGGGTGGGTTGTACTTTAACTTTAACAAACGTCAAATGCTGTCAAACTCCATACAAAAAGCACCGGTTATCGTTATAGTAACGGTTAAAATTGGGTAGTGGAACTCAGCCTTAGTAATGGAAATATAGTACGTACTTTTTTCTCACCAAAGTGAACAGAATAATAATGTATTTCGTTTAGCATTGTAACTAGGTATGAGCACTAGGAAAATTCCATGCGGGTGAATTAACTTTACAATGAAAACACAACGCTAGAACTTAAGAAGCTTTTAAGTTATAGGATTTCATGTAACTTGAGTTAAAATCTCTTTAATTTTTATAGTCTCGTTGTTTCTTTACGACCACGTAGCTTTAGAGATTCAAATTATCAAAATTACTTTATGATTTTGCAGTGTTTTAATTTCACATTAAGATACTATTAATATTATTGATATTTCATCATCAAATGTGGTTTACATTTCGTTATTTGTACAAACTCAGACCGATCCTAGATTTATCCAGGATTATCCTAGTAATTTATTACTGGGAAACGGTCAATCCCTCTGATCAAATATGTATAAGGACGAGAATCCTATCAGCCACGGCGGAGCAAGGGGCTAGTTTCTATAAATATCTTAATAACCGCTTGGTAACACTGTTAGCTGAAAAATGTTCTTATTGGTCAAAAGCAATAGGAAAGCTACGACGACGTCAACCGCAGAAAGTTATTTTACAGAACAGGTCAAGTGTTTGTGCCTTTCAGTAAAGGTGCATCCACACCACATATTAGGCCTGGTTTCCATCAAAGTGGAGCGGAGCAGAGAAGTGTGTGGAAATACCAATCAGATTTTATTATTTCCGCTTCTCGTCTTCGCTCCGCACAGCACCGCTCCGCGCCGCGCTGTGAAATCCTATAGGAAAATTTGACGGTCTTACATTCTCTACTCCGTTCCACCGTTTTTTTTTTGTTGAAANGATGCATACTTAAACGATAAAATCGGTCTTATAACCTCCTCTGTAACAAGAACAAGGGCTGCCAAAACGTTAAACTTGTTTAGTGTCTTTTCCATTAAAGAGAGAATGAAATTTTTTATAAGTTATCAAATTACATTAGCAAAACTTAAATCTAAAAAAAAATCGTAGTTCGGAGTGGGGTGGAGGGGTGGAGTTTCATAAAATTCGTTTTTAGTGAGCAACTGAGCACATACTTTCTAAAGGAACCTCCATGCAAAATTTTTAGTTTCTGAAATTTCGTGATGAGTGAGTGAGTGAGTCAGTCAGTCAATCAGTGTCCTTTCGCTTTTATAAATAAAGATTCATACACCCTCAATTTCATTTAACGTCAAAGTGAAACTGTTTTCTTGGCACTAACCAGCATCGATCTTGCGACTCTCCTGAGGTGTTGTATGTGGAATCCCAACTAATATTATAAATGCGAAAGTAACTCTGTCTGTCTGTCTGTCTGTCTGTCTGTCTGTCTGTCTGTCTGTCTGTCTGTTACGCTTTCCCGCTTAAACCTCGCAACCGATTTTGATGAAATTTGGCATAGAGATAGTTTGAGTCCCGGGAAAGAACATAGGATAGTTTTTATCCCGGTTTTTGAAACAGAGACGCGCGCGATAAAGTTTTTCTGTGACAGACACAATTCCACGCGGGCGAAGCCGCGGGCGGAAAGCTAGTAGTTCATAACTAAGCCGCTGGTCACGTCGGTGTTCCTAAGAAACTTGTCTTTGTAAATTAGTCTAGATTTTGCTATGGGACTCATGTTGAAGATAGATGTGTACTGCAAGAACTGTGTACATTACTATCACTACTTAGTTAATATAAAGTCGCTTAATTCGCTGTCTGTCTGTCCCTATGTATGCTTAGATCTTTAAAACTACGCAACGGATTTTGATGCGATGTTTTTTTAATAGATACTTAGAGATTCAAGAGGAAGTTTTTTGAGTATAATTGTACCTGCGCGAAGGAGGGGCGGGTTGCTGGTTACTTATTTCAGTTCAATAAGGGTTTATTTAGATTAAATGGTAAAGTTTCATTTAACTCGATATAATTTTTGTAGGTAGGTACTTATATTATTTTATTTGAATGTAGGTAGGCTGTCAGAAACAGACAACAGTCTTATTTTTCTTTCGCAAAATTTCATCTTTAATTATAGCAAAATTATTATGTAATTAATTGTTCACAAAAGATTTAAAGGTCCTGCTCGTGTTAATATATTGCTTAATGAATTAATTACAGCATGTGTTACAATGTCACGGTCCCGCGCCTGACATTGCCCTTTAAATTAATTAGTGTTTAAGCTGCGAGGGTGTAAAACAGCTTTCAAGGAGCTTTTGACCACAGGAAAAAGGTTTAATTAAAACTAGCACTAAAATTGCACGTACAAATATTATATTTATGTTAAAGGATCTATATTTATTATTTATTTAGGTATTCTGGTTTTTATTGTCATAAAAATCTTTTGTTCATATTAAGAATTAGGTATTCTAAAACTAACAAAATAATGTTTTGATTATTATAATTATGTTTTATATTAATGCAATTTATTCAAATAAATTTCAATCACCGCCTTGCTCTTATATTCTCAACAACTAGCTGTTCTTTCCCTGGGTTTTCTGCGAGAAATCGATTCCTAGCGATAAGAGCGCCTATATTGTACCGTTTTAATTTTGTATTTCTTTTGTTTTGTCAGTTTTGTGTGCCGTTTCAAATATTTGCATTCAAATTATTTTAATTGTCCCTTTTATGTAAAGAGCATATAGATAAAGAGTATATTCAATCCTATCTATCAAATGCTGCATACTCATATTTACCCCGGTTGAAGTTGCAAATATGTGCTTGAAAATATTCTCTCTTCATACATCAATGATGTGAGTGTCGTTCGCCAGATATTTTTCCCCGTCGGTCCGCGGAAAATTTTATTTCTTGTTGAGCCAGCAGGTTATGCTAGGGCATAACCTCGAAATTCAATAAAACGCGATCAGTTTAAGATGTTTGCTTGGATGATCGACTTTTATCGAATGTATGTTCATAATATGATCATAAAAGGTTAAGATTTTATTTTTGTTCATTATTTTGGTAATAACTTTTATATGCACCTTAATTATTAAGGCGAGAATCAAAATTTTGCGCTAACTTAGTTTTATAGTCAATACCGATCGTAAAAAAATCCATTGAAGCAAAAATATTTTAAAGTCAATCCAATTGGAAAGAAGTCATAGGCATCATCGATGGTAAAATTAGCTCACCACACCAAGCTTTCCCACAGTATCTTAGGTTACCATTTACATAAATTATCTTCAATCCCCAATAGCTAGAGATAGCAAAAAAATCCCCTGAATCAAGTAACATCGAGACATCTAAAATTCCCAATTTTAAAACTTTTAAAAGTTTAAGTTGGGGCGTCCATATCTTGATAGTTACTCGCAGACAATAACTAACGATGCGATATCAGCGCGGGTCACGTCGGCGTCGTGACGGATGGATACCTTGAAGATTATGAGATTTCAAGGGTTTCACAGTTTATTCTTGAATAGAAAATATCTCATTAAAAGTACTTGGCACAATACACCGGAATCTAAATAGGTAATTACTTTTTCTTTGCCGCGATTCAATTTCCTTTGCCTTTTAACGTTCAGTCAGAATTTAATTACATACTTTATAGACACAAAAGGCCCGGATACTATTTTTTCTAAAGTTTTTACCTACCCAGTTTGAACATTTCATAATTAATTAACATCAGCATAATTAAAAAGGTCGTCCNTCGGTCGCGGCGCCGCGCTGCCGACCACCCCGGAGGAGACGAGCCCGTCGGCGGCGCCGCGAGACGCGCGCCGGCAGGGCGCGGGGGTGGGCCCCGGCGGGCGGCCGGCGCGGCCCCGGCGCGGGCTGTCGCTCGACCGCCTGCTGCCGGCCGTGGCGCGCCCGCCCATCCCGCACGCCGCCACCGAGGAGGCCCCGCGCCGCCCGCGCCGCGACCGGCCCCCGCTGCGCCGCTCCATCCGCCTCGAGGACGACGAGGCGGCCGCCGAGGAGCGCCGCCGCGTCTTCCACCACGGCCCGCGCGCGCCCTCCTTCGACGAGGGCGACGCCAGCGACGAGCACGAGGAGTGCGAGTGCGCACGCCTCTCGCTCGAGCGCTCCGGGCCCTCCGCCGAGGAAACCGACTACGAACCGGAGCTCGCCGTCTCGCCCCCGTCCGTCGACCCCCCGCCGGACCCGCGGCCCGTGTCCTCGGACCGCGCGCTCGCCGACCGCCGCGACGGCCCGCTCGCACTTCGCGCCCCCTCGCGCGCTCACTCTCAAGGTGTCTTCGAACGCCGTCTCCCTAGAATTTATAAGTTTGGCCTTGACAAATCTAAACGAGCGAGTTCGAGCGCGTTGTACGACCGGACGGATCGCTCGCCGACCGAGGCGTTTTATAATGCGACCGGCTCAACGAGACTCAGCTCGCAGGAACTTTTTGAAAAATTCTGCTCAGAGGAATTTACGTCACTTTACGGGCGAGATGACGACCGACGTCGTCGTCCGCCGCACTCGAAATCGACGGGCAGCAGCGGCTCCGACGTCCGCCATGAGCGCGCCTGCTGCCGCCGCACTCCTTGTGGCTCGCAACCGGCTTTGACTCGGCGACACCTGTGTCAGGCTCCAAGGTCCGATCGGTCAACGGACTCGGAGGATACATCACCGAGGCGATCTGTGCCCCACAATTTACCCCTAGATCCTGATGTCCCCCAATCCGATGACTGCTCGCGATCGGCACCACTCCTCAGCCCGGACCGTTTTGAGGCTCGTTTCACGTTCGACATATCAGAGCGCAGCGAAGTGACCTCGAATCGTGACGAGACCCCCTCAGATGCGACTGAAACTCGCAACCTCACACTCTACGAGGAACCTCACTCGGACCGCACGAGTCTCTGCGAGTTGTATGACGCCGCGTTTACATCACAACGACCATCATTCCGACGTGACAGTTCGCGTCGAAGAGGTGGGCCTTTTGATCTAAGCGCCCTAGATTTTCGGGCGATCGACGATGAGAGCCCTCGAAATAGCCGTCGAACTTCCCAGCGGAGCGTCGATGATACGCTGCGGCAAAATTCAGAGTCGCGGAGTTGGGCCTCAGATTCCGTGTTCACGACTCCGGAACGACGGTATCATCCAGACGCATCGTCACCGTCCTCGGCTGACACCCGGCGTCTGGCGATACCGATCGATTCGCCCCGAGCTGACTCCGCCGCAGCGGATTCGACAGTAGCGGACACCACCGTGATCGAGGAGGAGGTGCCGAGTGTGATAGAGCGGGCGGAATACGCATTAGCTCTGAGACTGGGGAGGATCGATCTGGACGACGAGACGACGTCGGAAAAGACTGAGCCATCGGAACCGCGGATGTCCAGTCGGCCTTCGATGCACAAGCTGGAGCCGATTGAGCCGGCGCGGTTGTGCGGCGGCGGCAGCGAAGGGGACGCCAGCAGCGTGCGGTCGGCGGCCGTGGGCCGGCGGCGGCGGGGCACGAGCGAGCCGCCGCGGCGCTCGGCGCGCTGCTTCCCGCTCTGACTGCGGGGGGNGAGCGAGCCGCCGCGGCGCTCGGCGCGCTGCTTCCCGCTCTGACTGCGGGGGGCGGCGCCGGCCCCCCCGCCGCGCCGCAGCCGCCGCCGCGCCCCCCTCGTGCCTTCCCGCCGCCCCCACCGCGCGCTGCTGTCCCTGCTGTTCCTCCTCTCTTGACGAACTCGACGCTCGCACTAGTAGAGTTGCCACTTCTCTAACGTAAGACACTGTACTGTATTTTGGCTATGTGTATTTTACAGAATTAAACGTAAGTACGCTAAAATATTTTTATCGTGGGACGTACTTAAATCTTCATTAGCTAGTTAGTGTATGAATAATCTATTAAATTGATTAGGGAATAAAATATTTGTAAAAAGGTAGAGGTAAGGTAAGTAACATATTTTCATGAAACTTCATTTAGGCTTCCTTATGCGAATGTACTCGTACTTTTATCGATAGTATTAACGTGGCAACCCTAGCTAGGAGTACCCCGTAGTTGTAGCTTAGCGGCCCTTGGTATTGACGTCGCACCCTGGTAGATACTGAGCCTTCTTCTTCGCCCGTTCACCGAACCGTAACTGCCAAATTTCTAAATAATACTCGTGTAAGTTTAACTTTGGTAAGGAATAGCATAGCGCCGTTTATTCGGCATCGTTAGGTAGGCAGTGCCTAGTATACTACGTGCGTAGAGCGTAGATTCTAAATCTCGTAGATAGAAATTGATCCCGAGGATCGCTGGAGGCGCCTCGGTCGCAGTCCATGACTGACACAGGGTCAAATTTAGCTAAATAATACATTTTAATGTCTCGCATTGGAGCTTCCACGGGCAACATCCGCGGGTTGCTCCAATGGGAGTTTTAACCGTCGCTATTATAACGCGCGATGTAGACTGTCAACAGATCTTCATAACAACGGTGTAACTCCAAGTTTGAAACTCATAGAAATTTCAAAATTAACGTGACCGTTGTTGAAAAAATCTGATGAGGACTTAAGTATAGGTACCTAGTACGGAATACATTTTTTTTAAAGAATTATGTGTAATTTTATATCGTGCTTATATTAAACTACCAATTTGTGCAGTTTATTTAATTTTACAGAATTCTTGGCCAAAATTATGTCAATATTGAATTAACTAGACTGGGTTAGTTAGGTAGATAAAATTGAGGGACAAGCATTCTAATTAAATAACTTTTATGGCAGGCTCATCTTTACGCAAAATGATTATTAATAATAACATAAATAATATTTTGAACCTTTTAATATTTTAACAAATCGATTATGCATGGCGCATTCTATGCTAAAGTATTATTAGACGTTCAAAATTATGGATTTTATATTTATACGAAATTATTAAATTAGTATTAGTACAGAAAAATTACGATGAAATCTGCCAATAATGAACTATGCAAAAAAAAATTATGCGAGCCAAAGTGCACCCAGCAGTGTCATGTATTCCTTACCAGCATATACTTTCTATATTTATATAAATAAGTTAAATATTTTGGTGTCCATATATGTATTATATTGGTGTTATTGAATGTTTGTAGTTGATTCCAATACGTTAGTAGCTTATATTTGGTCTTGTCATGATATATTATTATTGTAGTTCGTATTTTGCTAAAATGTAAAACATAGCGTATTACTTTATACCAAGCTACTATGTATAAGTATAATTGCATATATTATACCTAGTTTTATATTGAAATTGTGCCAATTTTCCATAATTTGAGATGTTGTAGTGTTTATAAGTTGGTAATGTATAGACATTTATAAATTATTTTATTGTGGGCTTGAAGCTCTTGTTTTGTAGGACGATAAGTGAAACTTCCAATGTTTATTATCTTAGCAAAGATATTTAATAGCTTATATTATTGTTGGCCTTCCATTATGTAAGGGGCAGGTTTTGTTTACGAGTTTGATTTTATGTAATTTTTGTTAAAAGTTATTATTATTATTTTAGATATTTAGAGATATTCAGAAGTAACCGCAGTTGTTACTAGTCGTGCATTGTGGCAATTTTTTAAATACAGTTTTAATTTGTATTAAGTCTTTTTTGTGCCAAATATAACTAGTTATTGTGTTTTAAATAGAGTCAATATTAGCTCGATCCCTTTTTTACGTTTTGTGTGTTAAATGGAACAATAAAAGATTACTTTTTAAAGTTGAATGTACGATTAAGTAACAACATGAGACCGCGGGCGGCGATTTGCGGTTACCTCTTATTTTAACCGACTGCGAAGAAGGAGCGTTGTTTTTTATGTTTATCGTATCTTTATTGTCAACTGCACAATTGACCCTATTATTTTTCTAGGTGGAATAAATAAAATAGTCCATAGAGTAACTTTAAGATTCATCTATATGTATACATAAAAATATATGTTTTAACGAATAATAACGCACAGACCTACGTTTAAATAATTCTTAAATTTACATAAATATAAATAAATTGATGTTCCCTTCACCTGTGACTGCAAACATTTTTATAGTGTAACATTTAATATACTTACGATTATATTAGCGGCAAATACTTTAAAAAACTTTAAAAAATCATTGGTCGATTGTATTTACCTTTGTCCAAACGTTGCCCAGACAAAAAATATATTTTAATTTTTCCTCATTTTCGTGTTATTGACTGTGTTAACGACTGTACAATATTTTAAAAGACAATGTAAATTCCGTCAGCATGCAAGATAGAATATGGGTTTTTTCAGTACGATTTTATTTTTTTTACACAAAAAGCGAGAGCGCAACGGGTCGGATATACGGCAAACCAATATTTACACTATCAAAATACAGCAAAAGCTCAAAAAACCCGATGAAATGTATTAAAATTGATACAGTGTGATTTCACTGTGTAAAATACTTTCAAGATAAAATGATTTCATTTTATTGTTTTTCCTACAATAATAACAAATCATGTTCAATTCAATTCTTTATTGCTATTCCACACGCTAACTAAAGGATGTTCAATAATATTATGTTGCTGTATAACCGCCCCGTCCTGTTCTCTTTTTTATGTAAGAGCTTCCTCGTTGTGGATAAAAAAAAATCATAAGATATGATTTGCGTATAAAATAAATTAAGTTAATAACTACTTACCGTATTTATTAGCCACAAAGATAGAACTTTATGTTGAAAGTTTATCTTCCAATAATTTCTGTACTTCCATTTTAAATACCTCTGATTATAATGTGACGGATTCTATCTTAGTGCACTGTCTGAAGCCGTAGTTTTCCTATCCTATGTTTATACTTTATCTTTTATTGTGTAGGTACATAGTTATGGTGTTGTAAATGCTTTATTGTAAGTTAAAATTTCATGTGGACCATTATTCGATGTTTTTTTAGTAATAGAAAATATTTATAAACATATAAACAAAATAAATTTTCTTTGTAATTAAGTAAAAAGTTTTTACAAGTGAATTTCGCCGCACCGACAATTATATGTAAATAATAAACTAGAAAAAACTAAAGGAGCGTGTAGTCAATGTACTTACATTAAAATATACCAAATATTGAAATTATTGTATACCATATACTTATACATATTAATGAATTTGATTATATAGGGGGGAAAATTGTAACCTACTATAATAATTATATAGAAACATTGTGATTTCAAATTTTCAACTTCCAAAATAATTTAAAATAACATATTGAGATATTGTTGTCATGAATGTTATTTAAAAAGTAATTTTAATATTTATACATGGAACTTAATGGAAAATATATTTATTTGTTGTATAAAAACAATTTTTTATTAAAATTATCCTCAAATTCAAAGTACGTAAGTACCTATTATTAGAAGCTTAAAAAAATAAGTGAATAGGTACTTACCTAAATTAATAATTAAACGTATAAAGAAAGATAACAATTGAAAATGAAAGGATTATGAAGTCTGAAATAACAAAAGCTCGCTGAAATAATAGATAAATCTACTTTTATTATTTCTAAAACTTGAAATGTTAGAGAGTGCAATGCTAACTTATTCTGTTTTAGTATTGTATGTAGCACCCAATCCAAGTAACTTTTTCAGTTAAATACATTTATCAACAAACATTTTTCACCAGTCCATATTGGGTCAAACGTGTAATTTTTAATTAGGTATTTCTAATTACCTAGAAATAGAAATGTTTATCGTTTTAATCCTATTGTTCCCACTACTACACCTCTTGTAGCCAGGACTTAATAGTCCCAGGGGATAGCTGAGTTCCTTGGAAACCGCAATGAATTTAACACGAAAAATAAAGCAGTTCGAAGTTTGATATCGATATCAAACTTCGAACTTTTGAGTCGACTTCTCCGAATCAAATGGGTGACTGGAAGGGTATCTTCTAAGAATGAGAAATACCACAGACTAATGTGATACAAACTGATGGGTTACGTTATCTGTTAATGTGATGAAAAAGCCGGAAATCACGAAGTTTCCTTGTCGCGGCAAAATCGGTATAATAAAGAGCGGATATAGGCGTTTACTGAATTGAATCACACGTACGAGTATGATTACGTTCCCGATTCCAGAAATCATATTCCTACATAAATAATGGGTGGTAATGGTACAAATTTATTTTGGCATTAAAGTTTAAATAAATAAATAATTCTGACTCTGAGGATAAGTTTTGCTGACAAATAAAACAGAAAGTACTTATTTACTTTGGCCTTTAATATTCGACTTTACTCAACTGTAAAATAACAAGGACTTGCGTTACTCATTATTATACTGTGGTTATAATTAGATCCCCTAATTCAGTTAATTTTAGTAATACAGGGTGTGTAATGTGTTCTTGACACTGTTAGTGAAAAATATTGACGTACCTAATACCACAGAATATACACAGTAGAACAATACCATAAAACTTTCAGCTCTATTTTACACAAATACGGCTTAATACCGCTTAAAATTCAGTACAGCAATCAGATTTACTGTTTAAGTTCTCGCCTTACACCGTATCTCGTATGCATTGTGGCGGCGAGCTAATACTCGAGCACGGGAATTAATATCCGCGCATC